CAAAAAGTCCTTCTCAAATTAAGCTTTTTAACCCAAGCTAAAATAGCCAAAAAAATCAAAAAGTCAACCTATTTTCCAAACGAAACGTAGATTATTTCATATTAGCTATTGGTTGTTTTAAAAATTAATCAAGACCTGATTCCCTCCTACACCATTAACGGTGAATATAGGAATTGCGGTTTAACAAGCTATAGCATTTTTGTTAATTTAGACTGTATATGCTCCAGACGCCATTTAAACTCATATTTGTGGTTCCAACAATGATTCATCCCACTAAAAACACCACCACCAATAGCACTAATGCATTAAAAAAGTAAAAAAAAAAAAAAAAAATACAACTCCAAGACCAAAACATCACATCATTAATGGCGGGACCCACTGCCACCTAATTAGTGGGAACACTAATTAGTGCTCCTAAGCATTTTTCTTTGTGGTTCAGAATTATTGGTCTAATTAGGTTTCGTTTGGAAAGTAATCACTTTGCTTGATTCTATTTTTTCAAAAAAAAATTTAAAAAAAAATTGCTTTCTTGTTTTTTGTATTTTTTTTATTTTTACTGAATTTTTTTAATATTTTAAACAATTTTTTTTTTACTTTTTAGACATACCTAACATAATTATACCTAAAAAGTTAACAAAAATTATAAAAAAATCTTTTACAAATTCACTAAATACCAAAAATACAAAAAAAAAATACAGGAATTCAGTACATTTTTCGTATTTTTATGTATTTATTAATTTTTTAAAATATTTTCACATAAATTTTTTACTTTTTAGATACATCTAAGTAAGATGCATCTAAAAAAATAAAAAAAAATATTTAAAATTTAAAAAATATACACTAAAAACTAAAAAACTAAAAAACTCAATTTTCAAAAAACTTAATTCAAAAAACTCAAATCAAACATACTGAATAGTTTTTGTTTAAAAAGTAAAAGTTATTAAAAAAAATCAAAAAATCTATAACTTATATCAAAATGTTAAAGATTTTATTTTCTTTCTATTCTTTGCCTATCTTTTCGTAAAAAATCAAAAAGTCATTCTAAATATATAAATTTTTCTATCTCATATTTTAGCTTAAAAATTAAAAAAATATTAAAATAATCTGTTCTTAAAAGAGGCTTAGGCCAAGTTTGGCATCCTTAAAATAATTCATCATTTTATCTTTTTTCTATCACATCATCTCTCTACTTTTCTGCACATCTTTTCGTAAAAAGACAAAAAATGCACTTATTTAGCTCATCCCAAACAACCCCTTAGTCTAAAATATGATTTTTTTTTTAAAAAAAAAATCTCTTAAATTTATGGTATGGACAAAAAATAGAATAAAGAGTTGTGCCCTTATCTAGCTACGTTGACTAGACGCAAGAGGCCCACGAAATAATTGGTACCAATGTTGTGAAATTCGGATTGGACCGGCCGGTCGAATCGGTTGGATCGTAAATCGGGCATTTTTTCGATCCGATCAACCCCCTAGAACCGGACTAGGAGCAAAACCGGCCTAGAAATGAAAAACTGCCGGACCCGGCGGTCAAACTGGGATAACCAGTGACCCGGACCGGGTTTTGGCTGGTTAGACCGGTGATTTTTTTTTTATTTTCTTTCTTTCTTTTCTTTCTTTCTTATATATATTATAAATATATTTTAAAATTTTGACTAAAAATTCTTACTTCAAGAGTCTTCTCTCATAAGGAAGAGTCTCATTGGAAGTTGGAGAATATTATGAAAGTCTATTCCTATTTATAGGAAATGATTTTTCAAAAAGAATCTATAAAATTCTATGTGGGATTCAATCAAATTATTTGAAACATATTGATTGGAGAGAGAGTTAAAAATTTCATTTTCTTCTAAAATTAAACCTAACATTCAATCAATTTGTTTGGAGAGAATGTTTAAAAATTTTAATTTCTTTAAAATAAGTGACTTTTTTTTATCAATTATGACTTTATTAAATATTATTAATAAATATTATACAACAATTTTTATTTTTATTTGAGTATTTATATATATTTTTATTTATTTATAATTTTTAATTATATTTTTAAATTATATAATATTAATTATGACGTCACAGTTTGACCGCTTTGACCCGACGGTTGAACCAGTGACCCGTCCACCCGGTCTCTTTTTCAGTTCGCTCACCGGTTCGATTTTCAAAACATTGATTGATACTTTTAATCATCCATTATCTTCAACTTTTACAAACAAACAAAGAAGTGGAAAAGAAAGAAAGTAAAGCTAACA